ATCAGCTGTTTGTGTGCTTTCATGCCCCCAAAAAAGGGTCTCCGGCCACCAAGCAGGTGGGTGATCGAGACCATCTCACTTGCCTACAAGGCCTCTGACCACCCAAAGTGGTCCACACATATTTGTCCGCTTCTACAATTTAGACCTGGTTCCTCCCCGGGTTCTCAAGTCCTCATGTCCTGAATTGTGTTCACCTGGCACACACTGGACAGGGAGTTTGTCATTCTGGCACAGTGGCCATTCTTGTTCCCATAGTGTTTTTACACAGCTTGAGTTCCCTGATGGGGAATGTCTCGGGATATGCTTGTAACCATGGTTCACTAAGGGGAACGAGACACTGCGTCTCTCTGCCATACATCCTGCATCCATGTCAGCGCTACTTCAGCCTATCAGAAGCTTACCTGTGCTGCTTCGGATGCGCTCTTATGCTTCCTGGGGTGTATTCCAGAAAGGAGGTTCAACAAACTATGAGTGAAAACTTGAACTCTGAGTTGACTTACCCTGAGATTGGAAACTGAACTGAATTGAAAAAATAGCTGAACAGAGTTAGTTCAATCCACTCTGAGTAGGTTGACTCTGAGTTTAGCGAGTGCACCTCGACTATGAAAAGCCATGATCAATGGAGTTCCGAAATTACGATTCACCATAGCAACTGCTCCCGCCAAAAAATACTTCTGCATACTACGGAATACATATTTAATTCTAAATATTTGACATTCAATAAATATCATTCAGTGTATATCTATTTCAATCTGCAGCAGCATTTTTTCACATAGTCTAATGCTATTTCACATAATTAAATGTTCTCTAATCCAACATGCTACATTTCTTAAGTAGGGTAATGAAAAACATTTGACTTCTATTCAGAAGCCAACAGCAAGAAGGCAGATACTTGTAAAATGGGAGGAGAACCTGCACCAGCATCACTGACAGATGAAGAGGAGATGGCCACAATACCAATATTAAAATCCAACAGGGAAAATAATAATTTGTTGCTTTTGTATTTGTAGAACATAAAGATGACCAAATAAATTGTGAATAATTTGTGTTTATTTAACAGCTGTGCTACGGCATATATCTTGCACTACCCTTCTATCTGGCATCCTTACATTCCATACAGTAATCAGCTTCATTTTCTGAAGGTGCGATGGTGAGAATATGTAATCAATGCATCCAACCACACTGGAAATCCTAAAGGAAATCCTAATTATTAGGTTACTTAGAGGTTGCAACCAGATGTTATCAAGTGAACGCCATGTAAAAATGGTACCGTTCAAATAAATATGCATGTGGATATGGCAAAATAAATAAATTAAATCAAATTAAATTAAATCCTCTCCTGATGTAAATGTAACTCCCCGCGAATTAATGCAGCCTCCTCGTCTACAGGATCACGTATAAAAAGTCATGCCATTTTTGTCACATTTACCGTGTCTGCATGATGAAAATCAAAGTGGTCCGGTGAGAAAAATTATCTTGTTTCTATTTTCATTAAGAACATTTTTCTTACCCCACTGGCAATTAATTTTACTTGTTTACCCCAGAAAATGCATCATGATTTAAGAATTTTTAGATATTTGTACTTGAAATAAGGCAAAAATCTCAGCAATAAAAGCAATTTTTGCAGCGTGAATGAATGAATGAGGCATTTAAACATTGCTTACATTTTAAAAATGGGGAGGAGACCGAAAGAAACTCTGGGTTTACCAAAGAAAACCTGCTCCCGACCAGGTTAGGTTCACAGAGTAAGTTACTATGGTAACTTACCGAGAGGTTTAGTTTTGTCTTTTACTGGAACCAAAAACCCTGAGTTTCCCTTTTCTGGGGTTAACAAACTCTGAGTTTCCAACAAAACCCGCTTTCTGGAATACACCCCTGGTCACTTAGGTCATGTGCCCACCCGTGACATCTTGCTCCTCCATTGGACTGATTAGACACATACCTCAAAACATGGTCACGCAGAGGCGTTCCAATAGCGTTTCGATGCAGTGTCTCTTTCCCCTTAGAGAACCATAGCTACATTTGTAACTGGAGATGTTTTTATCGTGTTTTTAAAACTTGTTATTGTCTATGCAACAATGAGTATATGTATGTGTGGTAGAATCAAACTTTAAAATACATGAATACTCATGAGATCACACTGGCAAAGTCATACTGTAGCTTTGTGTGAAGTCTTTATATATTGTATATGAATAATGTGAATTAGAAACCTATTCCTTTAACTCAGAGACTTATTAAGAAATAAAAATCATCCTTTAATAACAGTGGAGGCAGTGCTATCTTTCATATCTGTCAGCTTTTGTGATAAATGGAGCAAAGCTTTCGGTTAAAGTGTCCACAATTTCAATCCTTAATGGTGAGCTGATTGATGTCTAGTACATCATAAGCGCAGCTGAGAAAATATATTGACAGTGAATCTGATGAGACAGCAGCTGCTTTACGTTCCTCTGGCTGTCCTCCGTCATTAGAGAGACTTTTGAATAGTTCACTGTTTCTCTGGAGACACCTTTCTTATCCGGTCATAAGCCAGACAACGTTTACAGTGGCCAGAGGGCAAAAGGAGCAAAAGTTCACGAAAATACTACAGATGCACAGAGCCGTTTGTTGTGGTTGCTGATCGTGTCAGTGTGCCCATGAACATCATGTCTGGAGCTTAGCTGTGCTCAGGGACTCCACGATGGCTTTACATTAACATGAACAGGCTGTCCAAAATCTGAAGGGAAGTGTAAAACAGCTGGACGGAGCTTCGAGCTGCCTCACAGGACATGATGTCTAGTGAATGGGTGCATTAAAATGGAGGACAGAGGGATGAGTGTGGTTTGACAGGCAGATGGGCAGATGGTTATTTCTTCTGACAGAACACAAGGAGGATCAGCCATGTGCAGAATCTAAATGAAAATCGTGAAAGCAGTAATAATCACATTTCCTTAAAAGAATAGTTAGCAATTAATTCAACACCGGCTCATTGGAAAAATGTGCTTCTACTTACAAAACAAATGAACTTTTCCACGACATTCTACTTTATTGAGATGCACCTGTACCTATACATACAATTCACTGCAGTTCCCACCTAAAATGAACACTAGTGGCAGTAGAACACTAACAACTTATTTATCTTCACACAAATTGTGATAATAAAGACTTGCTTTTGTGCAGTTCCTTGCACAATACTATGTTATGACCTCAAAACACTTTTACCATATTGCATGATTTGTAAACTACTAGATTTTGATATTCGCACAACATAATCAGCTCCATATTTATGGCTTTTCTGACATAGTAGAGCACAGTAGCTTGTCTGATACAGCATTGCACTTATGTGTATCTACACTTGTCATTCAAAAAAAAAAAAGAAAAAGTACAGTCCAGGTTAATTTAGCATTTACAGTCATTTTTAACACTGAACCTAATGATACAAAACAAAAGCCATAAGGATACAGTTACAACCTGATTGGACACACTTGTATGATATATAATTTGAAAACTTACTGAACATCCAAAACAATGCTGTTTGCTGGGCTAAATGCACTTGTATGCATGTACATATGGTGGCATTTTGACCAGCTTATTACTCACAAAGAGCTTATAAACTGTGTATAGGAGTTAAAACAGCACCAGGAATTCCTCTGTTGCACACACACACACACACACACACACACACACACACACACACACACACAGGTCTGCTGCATTGAGACGGTGGTTCTGACACCTGTACTGAAACTTTAAAGGGGTCATATGACGGTGCTAAAAAGAACATTATTTTCTGTAGTTGGTGTAATGCAATGGGTTTATGCGGTTTAAGGTAAAAAAAACACATTATTTTCCACATAATGTACATTATTGTTGCTCCTGTATGCCTCGCCTTTCTGAAACGTGTCGATTTTTACAAAGGTCATCGTTCTGAAAAGCGAGGTGTACACTGATTGGCCAGCTATCCAGTGCGTTGTGATTGG